CTACTGGGGATGTGCCCGAAACCAAGGTACATGCCCTTGACCGGAATCGAACCTGGGACTCTTCAGTCCACAGGCCGACGCTCTAGCCACTGAGCCAAACTGGTCAGGGCCATAAAATTCTTATTATTCAAAAAGTGAACTCCTATTCACGTGGAGGAAGCCTAAAAGCCATTAACTTGGTCTAAACAAGCTTCCAAAGAACGTGGGGCATCCATGAGAGAAAAATAAAAAAACGAAAGGACAGTTGAAGTACTGAGGAAGAAATCACTAAGAAATTGCTAAAATAATAATAATAATAATAATAAGTGATATAAAAAATAGCAAATAAAGTTTCAAAACATAATAGAGAACTGAAATGCATAAATATGTCACAATATATATTTATATACTAGAGGGGGGGTTTCCTCAGCTTGGCCTGCACCTTCTCCAATCCCGGACCCCCACAGGGGACATGCCTCTCACAATCCAGGACCACTGGCTCCTAACTGTTCGCCTGCCTGCCTGATCACCCCTAACCACTTCTGCCTGCCTGATCACAACTAACCACCTCTGCCTGCCAGCCTGATTGCCCCTAACTGCTCCCCTGCCGGCCAGATCGTCCCTAATTGCTCCCCTGCTGGCCTGATCGCCCCTAACCACCTCTGCCTCAGCCCTGCTCCCGGGACCCAGGATTCCCTCCTCCAGCCGGCCACAGGCACCTGGGACCCGGGTTGGCCGCGGCTGCAGGGGATGGTGGGCGGGTGGCTTCACCTGGGGCACAGGCGCCCAGGACCGGGTGGTTCTCCAGCTGGCTGCAGCCTGGGACCACAGGGCAAGTGGCTTCTCATCTCCCGGCCACAGGTGCTGGTGCCCGGGACTGAGGAGCGGGCAGCTTCTCCATCTCCTGGGCCGCAGCCAGCCGCAGGCGCTGTGCTGGTACCCAGGACCGCCGGTAGGCGGCTTCGCCCAGGCCCAGCTTTGTCAGAAAGGACGTCCAGATGGTCGTCCAGAAGACGTCCGGTCTAATTATCATATTACCCTTTTATTAGTATAGTTTGTATATTAGACCCCTGGAACCATAAGAAATGCTAAAATTCACTGTTAATAACTCATTCTCGAATTGCCCCCTTTAAAAAACAAATTGGGCCCTGGTCGGTTTGGCTCAGTGGATAGAGCGTTAGCCTGCAGACTGAAGGGTCCCGGGTTTGATTCTGGTCAAGGGCACATGCCCGGGTCGCAGACTCGATCCCCACTAGGGGGCATGCAGGAGGCGGCTGATCCATGATTCTCTCTCATCAACGATGTTTCTATCTCTCTCCCTCTCCCTTCCTCTCTGAAATCAATAAAACTATATTTACCACAAAAAAAAAAAATCAAATTGGCCCGGCTGGCGTGGCTCTGTGGTTCGATTGCCAGTCAGGGTACATACCTGGGGTTGCAGGCTCTATCCCCAGTAGGGGGCGTGCAGGAGGCAGCCTATCAATGATTCTCTCTCATCATCGATGTTTCCATCTCTCTCTCCCTCTCCCTTCCTCTCTGAAATCACTAAAATATATATTTAAAAAAAGAATCACACATTAATCATTTGAATACTAAATGTTAATCTAGTCAAAATTATGTTAATGTGCTAGGACTTCCTCTTCCAGAGTAAGAGGTCAGGAGATAATATCTAAAACTGAAAAGCCAAGAAATTGAGGTACCAACTTGTTATTGAGAGCCTTGGGGATTAAGGAACAGAAGAAACAGCTAAATGAATTTGAAATCGGTTGCCTGTGGGGGTAGGAACTGGGGAAAGGGGGAAGGGGGAACAGGGGACTGATGAGTCTCACTGTTTTGTTTATTATTTGAATTTTAAATCATATACAGCCTGGCCGGTGTGGCTCAGTGTTTGAGTGCTAACCTATGAACCGGGAGGTCACGGTTCGATTCCCAGTCAGGGCACATGGCCGGGTTGTGGGCTCCATCCTCAGTGTGGGGTGTGCGGGAAGCAGCGGATCGGTGATTCCCTCTCATCACTGATGTTTCTGTCTCTCTCTCTCTCTCTCTTTTTCTCTGAAATCAATAAAAAGTATATTTAAACCACATACAGTTGACCCTTGAACAACATGGATGTTAACTGCGCAGGTCAACTTCTATGCAGATTTTTAAAAAGAAATGACTGTATTGTTTTTGATCTGTGGTTGGGAGTCCATGGATATGAAGAGTTAACTGTATGCACTGACCTATGCCATCTTATATAAGGGACTTGAGCATCCTCAGATTTTGGTACCTGCTGGGGTGCTGGAACCAATCCCCCAAACATACTAAGGGACAATTAAGTTTTGGGGAGTAAAAAATTATACAAAATAAAAAATGGGGAAAAAATTTACACACACATTTTCAACTGTGCAGAGGACTGGCACCCCTAATCCCTGTGTTATTCAAGGGTCAAATGTACTTCTAACAAGAGAAAAGAAAAGAATTTAAGGAGATGCCTGGGCAGAGAAAACATTTCAATATTAGGCTGTGTCATAAGCCACAAACGGCCATTCCCTGACCCAGGGCTTCTCAGTGGTGACTCGCAGTCCCATCCGATGGGGATTCACCTGGTGGGCACCCAGCGAGAATGAGAATAGGGGACCTTATCTAGTTCCAGGGCCCTCAGCATCTTGCCTTCGAAAATAAAGGGCACTGCTCAGAGGCGTGTGTCTGAGAATAGAGGGCTCACAGCAAAGCCACACAGGACCATCTGAATAGGTCACCTGGGACACAGGTACTGTCCCACAAGACATCTCAGGGGTGACACATGTGTGCAGTGCCCATTCACTCGGACTGGGTTGACACAGATGCGATTAGAGGTCACACTGAATAAAACAAATTTCAAGGGGCCTCCGTCTCCCTGTGCTCATTAAATCAACCACTGTCCATGCACAGGCTGTTCTTAAGCAGCTACTTCTGCCAAGCCAGGTGCTACACGGGAGCTGGCCCATCACCTCCCCTTCAAAAGTCCCCTTGTCCACCTGTTCTTCCTTTCTTTTATTTTTTTATTACACATTTTTATGTGTACGGTTTTATTGATTTCAGAGAGACAGGGAGAGGGAGAGAGAGAAAAACATCAATGAGGAGAGATAAGTATCAATCAGCTGCTTCCTGCACGCCCCCTTCTGGGGATCGAGCCCGCAACCCGGGCATGTGCCCTGACCGGGAATCGAACCATGACTTCCTGGTTCATAGGTCAACGCTCAACCACTGAGCACAAAAGCGAGACCCACCTGCTCTTTCTAAGCCCACTGCTCTCTTGTCTGCCTGAGGGGTGTCTACAGAGGCACAAAGGATGGGCCTCCAATCCCAGACTCCCCGGGCGCAGGGTTCCTGCCAGTCCTTGTGGACCTGGGATTTGAGGTCCTGCACTGGCTTGGGGCACCCAGGCTGCCAGCTGCCTGGACTGTGGATCTGAGCTGCGGAGACTGACTTACTCCGAGACATGTGGACCGTGGCGAGCCGGCGATACAGGGCCTTCTGCCGGGGGTCTGGGTGGAAGCCACTCTTGGTGAAGTAGACGTGGATGTAGATGGAGCCATTCTGCTGAACGCTCTGCAAGGCGGGCCAACAGACAGAAGGAAATGCTGAAGCCCCTCACGACAGATGCCCCAGCAGCTTCCCCACTCCCCAGTTCTCCGGCCAGGCAAGCAGTGTAGCTAAGTGGTTAAGAGCAAAACACTGGAGCCAGAGAGACTCGGATTCGAACCCCGCCTCTAGCACTTCCCCACGCTGAGCCTCTGTGCCCACCGCAGGGTGCAGGTCATGAGAGCTGAGGGCACAGTGCAGTCGGGATTATCCCAGAGCACCTAGCATGTCACTCAGGCACGAAGTAGGAGCTCAATAAATGACCTTAATTCATTCAACAGTAAAACCTGGGATGGGGGGTGGGGGGGAGCACCAGACCCTGCTCTGGGTACTCCAAATGGTAACTGCCTAATCCACGGGTTCCCATTCCTGCAACACACAAAGACCTAATGCAGTGGCCGTGTTATTATACCCATTTTCCAGAAGAGCCAACTAGGGCTCACACAGAGAGCTTACATAATGTGCAGTGAATGGATCCGAACCGTCTGTGGGCTCCTGTGCGGCTCTGCCTCTCACCATCTGCGTCCCACCTCTCTGCCTGTACCTTTCTCCTTCCAGCTCTCCAGGCGGGGGCATTGTGCTCACTCCCACCACGTACAGAGGAGATCACAGAAGAGGGGTGGCCACCTGCTAGGGCGCATCTGAGCCCTCTCTGATCTTCGTGCAGAACTGGAGTCACTTGGCCACACTGCATCCTCCTCGCTTCCCTGCCTTTGAAGTCCACCTCCGTGTTCATCATGTTTCTTTGTTTTTTATCCTGTTTTAACATCTTGGAGGACATAGCTAGCTGGGTAGAGACTGCTCCTATAGGACTAGCTAATGCCTACAGATAATAAACAACTCCCCTGCCCAGGAACAGGCCTTTTATATGTAAACCAGCCAATCCCAAATCCACAGCCCCACCCAGCCCTTCTAGCTGCTTCCCTACCCTGCCTCGTCTTTCCTGAGGAAACCCCAGTGAAGACTCTGGCCTTGGCTTCCCCTCTCGCTCCTTCTGCTCCTGCACAAACTCGGTGCTTCCCCATGTGGCCCAGTGTTACATGGCGGCCCCCCCGCCCCTGGAAACATAATTAATTCTTCTTTCAATGGCACTGGCCTCTCCGTGTCATCACTCAGTCAGCGCCATAAACTAAAATCAGGAGCAACTGAGATACCCTCCCACCTCAAACCTGGGAAGGAGGGTCAGATCCAAGTCCTTGGGGGTGGCTTTTGCTGCCCCTCAGGCTAGCGGGGACCTCAGGGAGGGAGGGGCTTGGATCCTGGGCGAGAGTCTGGTGGAAGCCATCCCTCAGCACAGGTTAGCCTATCGGCCTCAGAAAGACTGTGTCCACACCCTGTGTCCAGCCACCCCCACAGACCAAGACAGAGACAGAGCAGACACGCCCCCTTCCCCCTCAGGAGGCCAAGGAGACCTGCTAAAGAGAAATGAATGAGTGTGCAGCCCAAAGAGATGTCAACGTCATTAATGCAGCAAATTCATTGATTGTTCAACATTCTGCACCCAGCCCCATGCTGAAGAGAGCTGGGGCACAGTGGTTGGCAAGACAGTCCCAGCCTTACCCTCTTAGGGCTCACAGTTCCATGATGAGGAGGGAGAGACCCATGTCCAGGAAGTGACAACCCCCAGTGTGGGCAGGGCTTGGGTGGGAGAGCCCAGAGAGGGCAGCTGCCAGAGCCTGAGAGTCAGGAAGGGCTTCTTAGGGGAGGCAGGATTTGAACATGGGGCTGCCCAAGTCCAGAGCCAGATACCCTGAGTTCATACCTCTCACTAGCTGTGTGACCTTAAGTAAGTCACTTAGCTCTCTGCACCTCAAATGTCCTCTTCACTGGAGAGAATAGTTCCCACTTTATAGGGTTACTGGGATTACACCAGTTGGCCTAGCTTGGTGCCCTGCACAGAGTAAGTGCTTAATCACTGTTAACTGTTATTTTCAAAGTAGAGGCCCAGTGCACAAATTCATCCACTGGGGGAAATAAATAAATAAAATTATAATTCTACTAGAGGCCCAGTTCTCGCAGTCCGCAGTCCGGGAGCCCTTGGGGGATGTCCCCACAGGGAGTGGGCCTAAGCCATAGTCGGACATCCTTAGTGCTGCCACGGAGTGAGTCAGGCCACTGTGCTCGCCAGCCATCAGTCTGGCTTGTGGCTGAGCAATGCTCCCCCTGTGGGAGCACACTGACCACCAGGGGGCAGCTCCTATGTTGAGCATCTGCCCTCTGGTGGTCAGTGTGCATCATAGCGACACATCGTTCAGCTGTTCGGCCAATTTGCATATTACCCTTTTATTATATAGGATTGGGCTGCCTGACAAACTAGTGATGACTGGACACCCCCAAGGGCAATTACTAATCTTTCACTGGTTAAAACCCCAGAAATACATGATCCTAGGTCAATTCCAACTCCATCCACATGGAGATGTGGGGAGGCCATGGCCCAGAGACTTCAGGGACCTGCCTGTGGCCACAAAGCATATGAACTGAGGGTACAGCCAGGCTTGGAGCCTAATCTCCAGATCGCAGGACTGGGAGTTGTTTCAAGGAAAGACCCTTCCATGCAAGGTGAGCAGCCTGGGGCCAGAGATCAGGAGCTGTCCCCACCTGTGGAATGTCGAGCTCAGCAAAGTGCTCATAGCAGCCATCTGAGTTCTCGCCGCTAGTCCAGTCGCCATACACAAGGTCGTGCTGCTCCCAGAAGAGTGCTGACGTGGCGTTGAAGTCTGTAAAGTGCTCGTGCTCTGAGATGTACACGTGCAGGTTCTGTTGGGAGGAGAAATGGGGAGCTTAGGGTTCCTCATTAAGAGCCTCTGAGGTTGACAGATAAAGAGCAGATGAAGAACTGTGGCAGTGGTCAGCCTACTAATATGAATAACTTTGTTGGGTGAAGGAGAAGGGGAGTTAGTGGAGAGAAGAGTAGCAGCTAGTAGAATAAATTTTCTCTTTTCTCATACCCCACCACATCTGTCCTGGTCTGAGTCTGTGATGTCTATGAGCAAAAAAACAATTAAAGAATAGCCAGCCTCGCCCTGCTGGCATAGCTCAGTGGCTGAGCGTTGACCTATGAACCAGGAGATCACGGTTCCATTCCCAGTCAGGGCACATGCCCAGGTTGCGGGCTCGATCCCCAGTGTAGGAGGTAGCTGACTGATTGATATTTCTCCCTCTCTCCCTCTCCCTTCCTCTCTGAAATCAATAAAAATATATTAAAAGAAAAAAGAGAGTGGCCAGCCTAGCAATTAGAATTTAGCGTTAGAAAGGATCAAGACCTCCCTGAATTATCTTCTCCCTTCTCGGCCTCTTGTGGCCTTCCTGGTCAGAGCTCTGCAGGCTTATGGATAAAGCAAGGTCAAGATCTGCAGGAACATCAGCCTCTACCGAGAATACGGGAAGCCATGCCTCCAAGAGCTCCCTCCTTTCTCAAGTCCCATGGCCATCAGTGTCCAGAGCCCTGAAGGCCCACTGACCAAGAACAGCTGAGCAGTGGTCACCCCACTGACTAGAATTCTGGGAAACTGAAAACATCGATGTGAGAGAGACACATCAATTGGTTGCCTCCCACATGGGCCCCGACCGGAGCCAGGGATTGAGCCTACAACTGAGGTACATGCCCTTGACCAGAATCGAACCCAGGACCCTTCAATCTGCAGGCTGACACTCTATCCACGGAGCCAAACCGGCCAGGGCTCCCTTTGCAACTTTTAAAGCCTGACCATACTTTTGAAACAAAATACATTAAGGACTCTGCCAAGATAGTTTTTAAACAACTGAGTGACTCCTTGGATGTTCCTCTTCCCCAGAGCTAGAACCCCCACAAAACCAAAAGAATTTACTTTTCCCTTACTGGTGTTGCTTGAGTGACAGGTTTTATGTGTTGTGGATAGACCCAGAGTTCCTCAGCTCTGGACCCATTCATAGGCCTGACAGTTACCAGAAACCAGATGGCGGCCCATGTCACTCCCCCACACCCTCCCTGGCGCTCTCATCTCCCTTGTCTGGCCTCCCAGCCAGCAGTTACCATTAAAGTGTCTTTGGGGAACAGGTTGCGGCTGGCGACGCGCGGGGCTCCTCCGGGGCCCACTTGGTCCTGAGGGGCCTGCCCTCGGCGGAACCAGCTGCTGATGGCCCAGATGATGAAGATCCTGAGGAGGGAAGCAGGGCAGGTGATGAGTCCCCAAGCCTTTTCCTTCCGACATGGGTCCTCCTGACCTCCTTCTGACTCGCACCTGCTGGGGCCTGACCTGGGGCTGGTGGCCAAGGATGGAGGGTCCCTGAGAAGGCAGTCACAGGGCTGGTGAGAGATAAGATGCCCTCAAAGGCCACGTCTGGGGAGAGACCCCAGATGCCACTGTCTGCTAGGGTGGGGGGGCCTGGCACTGCCCTGGGCTCCATGTAGACCCTGCTCACCAAGTCCTCCAGAAGCTCCTGGTGACCACAGGGCACAGGAGCCTGGACCCTTGAAACCTCAGACCTAGAAAACATTCATGTCCCAGTCCACTGGAATCCCAAAGTGAGACAACCCAAAGAACCTGTGCTAGCCCAGTGTTTTACAAGCACAGAACCTTAGAAAGCAACATAAGCAACATTTCAGAAACCTCAACAGAAAACTGGAGAGGCAGATAGTAAGTAGTTAGTTCTGATTTTGTTGTTGTTGTTAATCCTCAACAGAGAATATTTTTTCCATTTCTTTTTAGAGAGAGTGGAAGGGAGGGACGAAGGAGGAGAGAGAGAAAAATATAGATATGAGAGCCCTGGCTGGTTTGGCTCAGTGGATAGAGCGTTGGCCTGGGACTGAAGGTTCTCCGGTCAAGGGCACATGCCTGGGTTGCAGGCTCGATCCCCAGTAGGGGGTGTACAGGAGGCAGCCGATCAATGATTCTCTCTCATCACTGATGTTTCTATCTTTCTCTCCCTCTCCTTTCCTCTCTGAAATCAATAAAAATATATTTTAAAAAAAAAGAATCACTGATCCTGAGAATGAGTTGCATATTCTTAAAGTAATGTGACCAAGAGTTCCTGCAACTACATTTAAAAATATATAGATATAGATATATATAGATACAGATATATAGAGATATAGAGAGATATATATAGATAGAAAGATATCTATCTGTATATAGAGATACAGCTATAGATGTAGATATAGATATAGATTAGATATAGATATATAGATATGAGAGAGACACATCGACTGGTTGCCTCCTGCACCTACCCCGACCAGGGGTGGTCTGACACTCCTGCCAGGGCAGTCCTGATTTTTAGTAGCAATGGACTAGTTTATTCAGACCAACTCTCCTACTGGAAACAACTAGGAAAAGCTTGATAAGAATGAATACACAGCCCTAGCTGGTTTGGCTCAGTGGATAGAGCATTGGCCCGCAGACTGAAGGGTCCCAGGTTTGATTCTGGTCAGGGCATGTGTGTGAGGCAACCAATCGATGTGTCGCTCTTACATCGATATTTCTCTCTGTCTCTCCCTCTCTCTTCCACTCTCTCTAAAAATCAATGGGAAAATATCCTCGGGTGAGCATCAATATGAATCAGTGCGTGAAAGGATTGTGTCAATACAGTAATGATGATGGCGGTGATCTTAGGGGATTATGCTTTTCTTTTTGAATTGTTTTCTAATGAACAAAATAAAAGCCCTAAAACAAAACTACACCAGATTGATAGTTGTTTCCCAATATCCATCTTTCCCTTCTTCCTTGGTAAGTAAACTAAATTTTAGTGGGACCCCTTGGCCACCCAGAAAAGAGACAATTCCAGCCTTACTTACAGCTGGGTAAAGATACAAGGTAAAGTTCTGGTCAATAAAATGAAAAAACAATGTGTTATGTTGAGTTTTTGGAAAGTGTCCTTAAAGAGACAGAACATCCCTCCTTGATTTCATCTCCCCCGCTGGAACATGGATGTGGTAACTGGATCTTCAGCAGCTGTCTTAGGCCCTGAGGAATAGAGGCAAAACCTAGCAATGGTGGATCAAAAATCAGGGAGGAGCCCAAGGGTCCCTGGGACTCAAGGGTCCCAGGTTCGATTCTGGTCAAGGGCACGTACCTTGGTTGCGGACACAGGAGTGTGCAGGAGGCAGCTGATCCATGTTTCTCTCTCATCGATGTTTCTGATTCTCTCTCCCTCTCCCTTCCTCTCTGTAAAAAATTAATAAAATATATTTTTTTAAAAATCAGGGAGGAGTCTGGGTCGCAGCAGACTGCAAAATTCTGGTCTGCTTAGTCCACACTGGTATGTGAGCAAAAAATAAATATCCATTGTATTAATTCAGGTCTCTCAGATACAGCAGCTGTGTAATTATTAAATGAGACAAGTACTTATGAGCAGCCCAGTTGATGTGGCTCGGTGGTTGAGCGTCAACCTATGAGCACCTATGAGCGCAGTTCCATTCCTGGTTGGGGCACATGCCCAGGTTGTGGGCTCCATCCCTAGTAGTGGGTGTGCAGGAGGCAGCTGATCAATTATTTTCTCTCATCATTGATGTTTCTATCTCTCTCGCTCTCCCTCTCCCTTCCTCTCTGAAATCAATAAAAACATTTTTTTTAGAAGCAAAAAGCTATACAGCAGAGGGGTTACATGCTCAGCCTCTAAGCTTCAATACCTGGATCTGAAGCCCAGCTCTGCCTCTTACTGACTGTGTGACCTTGAACAAGATTCTTCGCTTCTCTGGCCTGTTTCCTCCACCATTAACATGGGGCTAACACTGCCTACCTTGTAGGGTTGTTTATAAGCATTAAATACACCGATATATACATATGCAATGACATCATTCAGAATGAAGCCAGGCACATACTGAGTAGTACAAGTCTTAGCTATTATTGTTGTTATTTGCATCACAGAAAAGAGTCATACAATAAACTTTGGAATTGAAAAACACTACAAGGGAATTCTGATGTGAGTAGGGTGCCTCCCTGCTGAGCCCCAAACCACACCGAAGGGCAGGATCAGGCACGGAACTCGTCTCTGCCTGTAGAAGCCATGGAGCCCTGGGGTCTGGGGTCACAGGAGCCATGGCCCAGCTGAGCCATCTGCTGCCTCCCCAAGAAGTCCCTGATGCACATGGCTAGGGAAGGTCTAGCACCGACAATCTCTGGGGACCCCTCTGCCCCCAGGAGAGGCTCCCATTTGAGTGAAACACCCAGGGAGAGTGTGGAGCAGGGACGCCCACTGGCTTCATGTGTGGCCTGTGGGGGGAGTCCCAACCCCTCTGGTCTTCTGGGTCCCCTGTAAAACGAGGGAGACCAGACCAGATCTTTTTAGGATTCCAGATCCCCTGCGCCCTGAAGAACATAAGAACATCTGTGTGTACTCGTGTACCCAGTTTTGGGGCCCACTCAGAGGCCTTGTGGACACTGCCCTCCACCCCAGCATCCCAGGCCACGAAGCCCCGCCAGAGGACCCCAGGCCCAAGGGGACCAGCCTCACCTTTCCAGAGTAAGCAAATAAAAGAGCTTTAAATCTCTCCCTGCTAAATAGATATTACTTCCACAGGTTCAGAAAAAACTGTATTTATAAAAAGACATATAGTGAAAACTCTCCTTCCCACCCACTCATTTATCCACCCCGCTCCCAGCTCCGGGTAAGCACTGGTGTGATTTGAGGATGTGCTAAGAAGCATGGAGACTACCCTGAAAAGGGGCCATTTCAATGCAATCTGCTGGAAGCTTCAGGGAGCTCACAGACCCCTCAAAACAAAGCCAGATTCCACTTTAAAACTCCAGGAGAGACTCTGAACTGATATTTGGGGCTGCCTGGTTCTAAGAAAGGAAATTAGCCTACACTATGGCTAGATAAAAAATGCCTATCTGAAGGAAGTTCCTTTATGCACCGATGTGGAAAGATTTCTGAGATACATTGCTAATGAAAGAAATCAAGGTGCAGAACTGTATAAAATAGGCTGCCTCGTGTAAAAATGGAGGGAAAGATAAAAATAATCTCTATTCATAGCTGCTTGAAGCATGAAAGAAACTGATATATAAGAAAATGCTAAGTCCTTGTTGGACATGGGGGGAGGAGAGGGACAGGGAAGAGGAGGGACAGGGGCCCCACAGTTGAAGAAGCTTGGGGTACAGGTCAGGAAGGACATGTGGGTGTCCTGGCTGAAGAGTGCAGTTTCTCTCCTGAACAGCTTCTCACTGTCCCGTGTGACACTGAGGCAGGCAGGTCTGTCCCCCACCAGCAGGTGATCTGTGACTGCATCGAGGCTGTGGACTATCTTTCAACTGTTTCTCTTTATATGTTCTAAGGTTGTTTTTTTTTGTTTGTTTTTAAATATATTTTATTGATTTTTTACAGAGAGGAAGTGAGAGGAATAGAGAGTCAGAAACATCAATGAGTGAGAAACATTGATCAGCTGCCTCCCGCACACCCCCCACTGGGGATGTGCCCGCAACCAAGGTACATGCCCCTGACCACCAGAATCAATGGGACCCTTCAGTCCGCAGGCCGACGCTCTATCCACTGAGCCAAACCTGTCAGGGCTATATGTTCTAAAGTTTAATAAACAATAAACAAAAGCAATCATGGCCAACTTTGACTGAGCATGTGCCAGCTCCTATGCCCCCAGCTGACATGGGTTTTCATGGAATGCTTTTCTTTTTAAGACATTTTTATTGATTTTTAGAGAAAGAGGGAGAGGGAGAGAAACATCAATGTGAGAGTGGAACATAGATCAAAGCAGAACATCAATCTGCTGCCTCCTGCATGACCCCCACCAAGGATGGAGCGCACAAGCTGGGCATGAGCCCTGACCTGGAATCAAACCAGCAACCTTTCAGTGCACAGGACGATGCCCAATTGAGCCCCACCAGCGAGGGATCTCTTGGAATTCTTTTGATGACCTGTGAGCTGTCATATTCCTCCCTGAGGTAGAAATTCAGAGACAGAAAGTAGGAAGGTGGATGCTAAGGGTTGGCGGGAAGGGAAAATGAGGAGTTAGTGTTTAAGGGGGACAGAGTTTCAGTTTGGGAAGAGGAAAAAGTTGTGGAGATGAACTGTAGTGATGATTGTACAACAATGTCAATATAATTAATGCCACTGAATGTTACATTTAGAAATAGTTAAAATGGTAAGTTACATGTAACATGTATGTTGCGTCTGAATTGTGTCCCCCAAATCATATGTCAAGTCCTAACCCTCAGTACCTCAGTGACTATTTGCAGATAGGGCCTCTAAAGAGGTGATTAAGGCTAAGTGAGGTCATAGGGTGGGCCCTAATCCAATAGGACTGGTGTCCTTATAAGAAGAGGAGATTAGAAAAAGAATAAGAACAAAGTAAAAAAAGAAAAACAAAAAGGAAGAGGAGATTAGGACATAGGCACCCAAAGAAGAAAGACCCTGTGAAGACCCCGCAAGGCAGACATCTACAAGCCAAGAGACGCCTCAGGAGAAACCAGACATGCCCTTGGTCTGAGACTTCTGGCCTCCAGAGCTGTGAGAAATTCATTTTTGTTGTTTAAGTCACCCAGTTAGTGCTATTTATTAGAGCAGCCCGAGAATATTAATAATGTGGTATATTTTACCACATTAAAAAAATTCTACCATTAAGAAAAAAAAAATACAGCTCCCACCAATATAGAAATGATGGCCATCCTCAAGGATTCTTTCCTTTCATTTGCACTTTTTTCCATGAACAAAAGCAAACCATGCTCGGCCTGTGTGCTCAGTGCTTGAGCATCGACCCATCTACCAGGAGGTTAGCTGGTTCAATTGCTGGGGTTTCGGGCTCGATCCCGATCAGGAGGCATGCAGGAGGCAGCCAATGGATGTTGATGTTTCTCTCTCATCGATGTTTCAATCTCCCTCTCCCTTCCTCTATCTAAAAGCAATAAAAACATATTAGAAGATAAAAAAGCAAACTGGCCATCTGCTTACCTGAATAGGACACCTTTGATGACCTGCCAGGCGTTGGGTGCTGGCTGGGGTGGGTTCTGGGGCTGGGTCTCCGCTGGCAGGTCCCTCCCGATGCTGCCATTGCTGGTCACCTGCGGGAGACAGAGACCAGGATAAGGAGGGAGAATGCAACCTGGCACAGGGCTGAACACAGAGGGGGCACCTGGTCCAGGGGTCAGGGAGAGCTTCCTGGAAGAGGGGACATCAGCGCTGAGATCTAAAATACAAGTGGCCTGTGCAGAGGAGGCAATGAGGGAAGCAGCAGGTACAGAAACAAAGGTGGTGAGAGACATAGCCTTACTCTAAGGACTGCCGGGGCCCGGGCACAGGGAGCAATGATGCGGAGGTGACTATGGGGAACAATGCAGAAGGGGTCACACGGCCGATGCAAGTCCTGGGTTTATCTGAACGGTCCTTCCCTGAGCAAACAGTTCCTGGGGTCTCCGCTGTGGCTGGCCCTGTACAGGGCTCATCCCTTCAGGAGCTCCGGAAACAGCAGGAGAGACAGACAGAAAAAAACAACCAGAGCATGAGCCACACTGCTGTGAGCCACAACGAAGGTGAGTGCAACAAACACAGTGCACACCAGCCTGCGGGCCAGAACCTCGAACATCTCCATGCGGGCGAATGGGGGCTTGGGAGGCTAAGCCACTTGTCGGTGTCCCAGGAAGGACAGCAGCAGGAAGAGGGAGGGTGGGCAGGCCAGCGAGTCAGGCAGGGCTTCCCAAAGGGAGAATCTTCCCTCCGAAAGAGAAGCTCAGAAGCAGAGAATTTCATGTCAGCTTTGGAAAGGCCCGAGATGGAGAAATTCTTCCCAGGCCTGTCCTGGAACCTGCCACTTCCCAGTCCTGCTCTCTTCCTTCCTCCTGGCTCCGCCCCCTCAGCCCCCAGCCTTCAAGAGGTAGGACTAGGACTGTCAAGGTCACCGTCAGGTGGAAGCATTACCCAGCCCCCGGCCAGCAGAGCAGGGGCTCAATAAATACCTGTGGAGTCAACAAATGTTCCCTGAAGGGCTTTCCCCCAGCACCAGGCCCCCCAAATCCACCCCCTCCGGGGCCCCCACTGCCCAGCCCTCCCCCTCCCACAGCCCCAAGCCCACTCCTCTGCAATGTCTTCTCTCAGCCCCGAAAGCCCTGGGGAGCAGGGACAGAGGCCCCCTGGCCAGATGGGGCTGCCAGGGAGCTGAGGCCAGTGTTTGTTAAAGGTGTCATTTGTCACTCCCTGTCCCTTTACCAGAAAGTGCTTTTCTCTGTTGTCTCCCAAAGTGCAGGACAGCACCATGGTGATAGGTGGTCACAGACCCAGGCTGCAGGCCCTACCCCATCATTCCCGGCGGTGAGATCTTGGACACATCACTTCCCTTCTCTGACCCTTCCCATCTCTGACCCAAGGGCCAGATTGTGAAAATGCAGGTGTATTTTGTTCAGAAAAGATCTCCTTCGCGTGTTGGAAAAAATATTTCCTGAGCACTCACTGTGCGCCAGGCCCTGTGCTAGGTGGTGGGACCGGTGGTGGCCACATAGCTCTGGCCCTGCTCTCCCAGAGTTCAGGATCTAGAGCAGTGGTTCTCAACCTTCCTAATGCCGTGACCCTTTAATACAGTTCCTCATGTTGTGGTGACCCCCAATTTCATTGTTACAAATTGAACATAATTAAAGCATGGTGATTAATCACAAAAACAATATGTAATTATATATGCGTTTTCCGATATATCTATGTTTTCATAGGCGACCCCTGTGAAAGGGTCGTTCGACCCCCAAAGGGGTTGCAACCCACAGGTTGAGAACCGCTGATCTAGATGGAAACACACCTACAGAACAGTAAACAGGGTAATTAAAAATGGTAAACAGGAAAAGTGCTCTGGAGGAAATAAGCAGGAGATGGAAGATAACCCTTGGATTGGGCGGTCAGGGAGGCCTCCCCGAGGAGCTGTCTTTGACATTTGGGTGAAGGGTGTGCTGGGGAGAGGGAAAGGTTCAGCGAAGGGGTTGGCCAGGGGACAGGGAGATTGGACAGGCACAGGCCTCGTTCAGGAGCACTGGGGGCCAAGTAAGGGCTCCCAGCAGGTCTGAGCTGATTCTGGGTCAAGAAACGGAAGCTTGAGGCCAGGCCAGAACTTGAACCCATATCTGGCTGGCTGCCAGGTCTGTTCTCCTACCCGCAATAGTGGACAAGTGGGCTGGACACTTTCCCATGGAAATGCAAATGAAAACCGCAATGAGATGTCTGTGCACTAGGATGGCCAGCATCAAAAAGAGGGCCAGCCACAAGTGCAGGTGAGGGTGTGGAGGCATCGGAACGCTGGACACGGCTGGTGGGAAAAATGACGCTGCTGCTTGGAAAAACAAGGTCGATGCTTAAAAAGTGAACTATGTACCTGCAAACAAACCAGCGATCCCACTCCTGGGTCTCTACCCAAGAGAAATGAGAGCATAGGTCCACGAGAAAGCTTATACGCAAATGTCCATAGCAGCATTATTCATAATAGCTAGAAGTTACCCAAACGTCCTTCAATGAATGAAGAAACGGATGTATTTGCACAATGGAATAGTACTCAGCAACAAAAAGGAACACTGCTAGGGGCAGAGAGTGACTGAAAAAGGAACATGTTCTGAGGGGATACAAGTGTTCTCAGACGGGACTGTGATGATGCTTGTACCTCACAACTGCACACATGTACTAAAAGCCACCGAAGTCTATACTGACAACAGGTGAACGGTACAGTATCTAAATTATACCTCACTAGAAAGGTAACTCCTGCCCTGGCCAGTGTGGCTCATTTGGCTGGAGCATCTTCCCCTACACCAAAAGGTGGCAGGTTCGATTCCCGGTCAAGGCACATACCCAGATACCCAGATTGTGGGCTCTCTCTCTCTACCTTCCTCTCTCCAAAAAGCAATAAAAAAAAAAAAAAAAAAAATGTGCTATAAGAACATGATTGTTATAGTAAATAAAGCTTAGAATTTCCAAACCTCTGATAGCTCACTGAATATGATCAAAGAACTTTAGTACCAGAATAGAATAAGGCTCGGATAAATTGATAGCCTTTCAGATAAAACAACTAGCTTTAGGCCCAGGGATTAAACAAAAGAGGAGGGAGTCTCTTGATAAAGGTAGCTGTAGATACTCTAAAAAAAAAGAATTTTGAAAAAAAATTAGCCTACATGAGCTAAGAAAATGATTGGGAAAATGAAATAATCAGCAAAGGAATTTAGGAAAAATCAAGCACTTGCTTTCCCATTTTGCTCTTAAATTCAGAAGGGGAAATTTCTAATGAATAATTTAGGAAAATTTTAATTGGTATGGGTGCTACAATATTGACATTAGAATTCCCTCAACAAACTACTCTAGTGGCAGTGGTCTCCAATAATTTTCAGATATTCCCTATATCCTGGCCTATATCATTCATGTCCACACCTTAACCAGGGACATTCTTTCCTCTGCTTGAGGCCACACCCACTAACTTAATAGGAAACAACTTACTTTGTGAGATTTCCATATTAAATACTATCCTGATGATCTCTTCCTAGGAATCTTTGTGGACTTCTATGTTCATAACATGGTTATATCTTTTTGGATGTTAGCTCACAGGTACCCTGAGTCTAAAGCCCAGATTGAATGTCTCAAGAAGGTGCTGGATGACTTGTGGGCAAAACTTTTCTGTTGTACATAGTGTTATTGGAGCTGAACTCATGAAGGTTAAGGTGGATCTAACAAAGCCTTTACTAAAATTTGCACAATGAACTTTAAAAACATAAGCTAAATAAAGTACTATGCCCTTTAAAACCAGAAGCTAAAAAAAGGTTTAAATCAATAGAAAAAAACCTGATAGAAAATATTTTACCAATTCTTCTACTACTATACTCCCATGCAAAAAAAAAAAAAAAAAAAAAAAAAAAACCCTCCCCCCAAAAAACAAAAAAAAAAAAAAAAAAAAAAAAGAGGTAACTCTCCAGTGGCTTCCACTTCCCTCAGAGTGAAGGCAAAGTCCTCACCATGGTCCCCAAGGGCCTGATCTGGCTCCCTCCCTGCTCTCTGCTCTCCCCTATCTCCCCTCACTCACCAGCTCCAGCCACACCAGTCTCCTCACTGTTCCTTCCTCACACCAGGTACCTCCCCCCTCAGGGCCTTTGCACCTGCTGTTCCCTTTACCTGGAAGGCTTTCCCCCATGTATCTAAATGCCTCCCTCTTCAAGTCTGTTCAAATGTCACCTTCTAGCAAGGCCTTCCCTGTTTAAATGACAACCCCCCTACCGCCCCCCCTCACTTCCTATCCCCCTCCCAGCTTTATTTCTGTCCATGGCACTTATTACATCTGATCCACTATACATTTTCCTATTTATCTTAGAACAGTCCCATCTGTTCTTCTACCCCCACCCTGAAGCCCTCAAATAGAACATGAGCTCCAAGAGGGCAGGGCCTCTGTTCTGTTCACAGCTGTATCTCCAGCATTAGCATGGATCAGAGCCTGTAGTGGGGACAAAATACATATTAACTGAAGGGATGAATGCTGGGTCTGTGGGTCCTGTGCCTCAGCCCCCGCCTGAAGGAGGAGCAGGCTGGCTGGAGCATGAGACTGCCAAGGCCTGTCTAGACCCCACAGGCCAGGAGAGGGTGGTGGTGGCTGCGGACACAGCACAGTTCCTCCTCTCGGATCCACATGTCCAATCTCACACACTATCTCCAGGAACACGCACCAAGGGGCCCAGGAAGCAGCTAAAACCATGAGGCTGTGCCAGAGGCTTTCCGGCACATCCTCACCGAACACCTGGATCCACCGTGGGCATTCCACATCAGCTTAGCCTCTGCCTCAAGATCCATTCATTCCACAAACACTGAGCACCTGACCTGTGCCAAGGCCTCAGCTGGGCGGTGCTGAGGACACAGTGATGACCAAGACAGTCCCAGTACTGTCCTCCTGCAGCTCCTGTCAGCGGAGGAGACAGATGGACAGTGACACCCCAGTGTGGGCAGTGCTGGGGACAGGGGAGCCCAGGGGGCTGTGGAGCCCTGACCCAGTCCGAGGGTCAGAGAGGGCTTCCTAGGGGAGAGAATGTCTGAGATGTACAGGACTCTAAGGATCAACCAGGTAAGAAGGGAGAAACCTATGCACAGGCTATGAGGAAGGGATAGCTGGCACACTTCTGAAATAAAAGAGCTCAGCTGGCTGATGCTCCTCTCATCCAGTGGCTCTCCAGCAGGGGCAATCTTGCCCCTCCCACCCGGGGGCATTTAGCAATGTCTGCAGACATTTTTGGTTGTCACACTGGGGAGTGATGTATACGCTACTGATACCTAGTGTGTAGAGGCCAAAGATGCTGCTAAATATCCTACTGCGCGCAGGAGAGTCCCCCACAGTGAAGAATTCTCCAACCCCAAATGTCAGTAAGTGCTGCGGTTGAGCCATCCTCAGCCTGAAGGGAGTCATGATCGTGCAGCGCTTGATCTGCTAGAGAACTTGTACTTTATCCTGAAAGCAAAGGAATGCCTGGAGAGGTTTAAGCAGAGGTAGGACAAGAGAAGACTAGGGTGTGTGGGGGTCTGTGGAAACTCGCAGCAATCAGGGCACCCCGAGTCCTAGTCTCTCCCATCACCCCCCCACACACACACACACAAAACACACACACACTCAGTAATCAACAGAAACTCCAAGACTGAGCAGCCCCTGAAGACAGGGACTGAGACTTCCTTCCAGAGCTAATTCAGCAAACACTTCCTGAGGCCACCCCGGGGCCAGGGCCTGGTTGAAGGTGCTAAACAAGGTGCGTCTTGTCTTGCTCTATCCCAGGAATCTCATCCTGGCGTTCCAGGTGATATTATTTGCCCCTCCTCTTGGCTCCCTCAGTCCCTGGCATAGACTTCTATCGTTACCCTAGTCACCCAGTGTTATAATTCTTCACACGTCGGTCTTCTCTCCCGCTCCACCGACGGCAGGGGCACAGGTGTGGCCACCTTTGTGGCCCATCACACGGCTGGCCCTCCTACCTAACCCTTCCATTTACCACTGGAGAAATGAGGGCCCAAAGAGAGAGGAGTTAGCACAAGGTCACAGAGAAACTCGGCTTCACTCTCCCCTCCCAACCTGAGCTCCTCTCCCGTGTGCTGCTCCCACTCAGTGACATCCGGGTGGGTGGGTCCCACAGCACCTCGCTGTCACTCCGTGGGTTCCTTAAACGCCTGCTGGGTGGCTGCCTGAACTCAGCAGGTTCTGCAGCCTCGGCTGAGTTGTGGCGGTGAGGGTCAGAAACCACCAGCCCCTGGGCTAATTCCCCCACGGGGTTAGTTTGTGATCAAAGCACAGCCACTCCAGTGCTGACCACGCTGGGTTAGCAGCGGCTACTAAACTGCTCCAATGGGATGAAGCCCAGCCCAACCCGGCTGACATTCTGCAAGCGCCTCACTCTCGCTGTTCCTTGGATTCCCACCTGTGAAATGGGTCTGTCAATGTCTCCACAGCCTGTGTCCTGACTCAGGACGATTACCTGACTCCCCCCAGAGATACAAAACTCCCAGTTAACCAGTCACCGTCCACAGGTCAGGCACTGGAAGGGAGACCCCGGATGCCAGACCACTCTGGGAACGGACGTGGAGCCTGGAATCAGGAGTCGAGAACCGAGGGAGCCTGGGTACAAGACTGCGTCCCGCCGCGCCACTGTCTCCAGCTCGAACAATGAGCTTGGTGGCCGCTCGGCGCG